GTCCAGAAAGACAACTAAAGAGGGCAGTGGTATGTCTCTGTGGTGGTACAGATGGCACAAGGCTTTGGTGGAACAACAGCAGATCTTGTGCTGGCCAAGAACAGATGCTGAGCTGAAGGCTTCTGTGTTTCTCTCTGGTTGACAACTTTATTTGGGTTCAATGGGATAGGGACCCTCATCTGTGACCCTGGCTCAGTTTCTTACCCAGCCACAAAGTCTGTCCTCTTCTTTCTTTTAGCAGCCTGTCTCTCGTCCTCCACAAACCCTTCTTAGAATATTGCTCTTGGCACTGTCTTCTACATGTGGACCAGATGTTCATGGCACTCCTCCAATGCATTGTGTATCTCTCTTTCATCTTCCTTGTTCCCATTTCCAACTCTACTTATGATCTTCATTCAAGTCCTGGAACAATAAGTCCCTCTCTGGCATCAAAATTTGCCCCTGCCACTTATTAACTGTGTGATCTTGTACAAATGGTGTAAGCTATATGCTTTGGGATTATTCTGGTAATTCAGAGACATGGTAATTAAATTAACACATACAAAACATTAAGACTGTGCCTTAGAAATAACAAGGTTAGTTCAATACAGCTTGTTGCATACTGTTAGTCTTGGATCCAGCCAGTATTGTGGTGACTCAAGCATGCACTTCCTTCTCATATAATGTGTCAAGCTCCTTGGAAGTTTGCATAGCAAAACCAGTGCTTTCATGAGCACCGAACTCAACTCCTAGGTCTATTTATTGCCTCTTCTATGCCTCTACACTTTAAGTTATTTCTCATGGTAATGTTATGGTTGGGACAGGAAATGTTCCCAACAGTCTTATGTGTTGAAGGCTTGTCCACCAGCTGGAATCATTTTCTTTGAAAGAGGGGGAAATGAGAGAAACTAGGAGGTGAGGTCTAGCTGGAGGAGGACTTACACTTGGAGACTAGATTTGCCCTGGCTTTTTCTTGTCTCAGCTTCCTGACAGCCATAAGGCAAACTGCTTCTGCTCAGCTAAACTCCTGCCACCATGATATTCTGCCTCTCCCAGGGCCCATGGACTGAAAGTCTCTATACCTATGAGCCCAAGTAAAACTTTCCTACTTTTAAATTGTTTCACTTAGATATTTGACATAATGACAAAAGTCTTACACATACTAGAATAGAAAAGGTGTATAAAAATCGAGGGAACTCTCATCTCTCAGCTTTGACAATTGACTCACGACCAATCTTCTTTTCTTTTCTTTTTTTTATTTTCCAAGACAGGGTTTCACTTTGTACTCTGGCTGTCCTGGATCTTGCTCTGTAAGCTCAGGCTGGCCTAGAACTCATAGAGATATGCCTGCCTCTCCCTCCCTAGTGCTGGGATTAAAGGTGTGGGTACCATGCCCAGATCAGTTCTCATTCTCTTAACACCCCAAACCATTCTCCATTCCTGCCATAAGTTATGGTAAGTAGTACTGAAGATGATAACAGGCACAATGTTCTTTCATTCTGCAGGGAACTTTCAGTAACATATCCTACACATGGAGGGTATGTTACTTACCTTATTTAAGTTCTCTTCGAGCAAGAGTAAGCACCAAAGTTTTGGGCCAAGGTTCTCCTAAAGTGGTGGGCTTGAATTTTATCTTAGCATCCTCATACAATCAGTTACAATCCCTGTTATGTTTGCAGAGGTTATAAATTTAGCTTGGCATCACCCAATCTTTGCAGTACAAGTTGTAGTGTACTACAATTTGAGTGCTCATGAAAGCACTGGTTTTGCTATGTACAACGTCTTTGAGAATGACTTGATAGCTGGAGAGAAAGTTATTTATTGGTCAGAGTGGATGGACACTATGTTTTGAGTCATTGGTTTCCTAGGACACAGGCAGTATGCTTGCCTAACTCACTGGGACTGTGTCTCTGGTATACTTGTCACTTGGGGATTCTTACTGCGACAGTGATGGATTTTTATTACACTAAACACTAATTAGTTCTAATTAGAGGCTGTTAGCCTGTTTAAAATGGAACTTTCAAGAACAAGCTTGCAAATGAAAATATTTAGGAGATAAGGCATTTTGTAGTTCTTTTTTTTGGTGAATATTCCTATACGTATCTCATAAGAAGGTTTAGTTTGGAGGAGACTATATTCAGGAAAAACTCCTTTATCTGCTTGGGTTAGTTTACCAATACTCAATACCTATTAGCTACTAGTGGGGGATGTCCTTCTGTATATATATTTCTCTATTGGTTAATGAACAAAACACTGATTGGCCAGGCAGAAAGATAGGCAGGGCTAGGGGATGAGGAGAATGCTGGGGAGAGAGGCTCAGTAGAGATGCCAGGCTGCCGAAGGAGGGACATGCCAGATTATGGGTAAGCCACAGCCTTGTGGCAATACATAGATTAGCAGATATGGGTTAATAATTTAGAGAGAGCTAACCCAATTAGAAGCCCAAGCCATCTATCAATAGTTTCATAATTAATATAGTGTCCATGTGTTTATTTGGGGATGAAAGGCAGCGGGGCCTGATGGGACAAGAAAATCCACAACAAGCTACAGACTGACAGCATGTAGTCAGGTTCATGTGATGTTACAGCTCTTTGTCATGCACACAAAAGGGCCAGGAATCAATCAATGCTGAGGCCCTATCCGGCTTGCCCCAGCCTTCCAGATTCACTGCTAGTTATTTATAAACTCTTGCTTAGGGACAATTTTTTGGTAACTTCATATCCCTGTGTCTAAAAATGATTTATCTGGTAAGGTGCTAGGATTCAGGATTGTAAGTCATGGGAATAAGAAACACTTCATGGTCTGAATTCTCAGATCTTATTAGATACATTCTCACCCTACAAAGACACGTTTCCAAGCACTGCATGGCCATATTTTGACTGCAAGGACTTGGTAGAGAATGAATAATGCTACTGCACATTGGTAACCATCCCATCAAACTGTTACAAGCTTGACTTTAATTCTCATCTTCATTCTCTCTCCATTTCTGAAATTGTTGAATACCCATGGTCCCTGGGTTGGTTGGAAGCTAACCCAAGCTATCTGCTTCATGAGGATCTGCCCTGGCCGCTTCTGGATATCACAATTCTTGAAAAAAAAAGATACTATAATAGTGGTACACACTTGAGCTGGGCATGGTGGTGCACACTTGGAATCCCAACACTCGAGAGACTGAGGCAAGATGCCCACTGGTTCAAGGCCAGTCTGGGTTATATAGAATGTTTGAGGTCAACCTGGACTACAAATAATGACCTAACTTCAAACCAAAATCAAAAGGAAAAAATAAAATTGCTGTATTTTAAAAACACTGTAAAGCTCGACTATTATTGGCTTTGACTGAATCCAAATTGTTTGATCAGGGACACCATTCAGCCTTTCTCAAACTCTTCCCTGTCACTCAACTGAAGGAGATAACTTTTATTTATAGCTTAGGTTGCTGCGAGAAGCAAGAGCAATGGGAAAGCGCGTGGTGTGCCTCCACTCTGTGAATTGAAATTCATATATTTTTATGATCTCCACACAAAGGCAGGGGTAAAACAGAAGCAGCAGCTTAATTTATGATTTAATTTACTTTAAAGTTTAACAGTTTATTTTTAACTGATACATAAAATGTACATATTAATGTTACCATGTGATATTTCAGTATATCATATTAATTGGATTTAACATCCCTGTCTTCTCAAATATTTAACGGTTTCATTTTGATGAGAATACTTTAGGTCCTATCTTCTAGCTTTTTGAAAAATACACACACCATTGTCCTCCACAGCCACCCTTCTTTGGTAACCAGAGCCCAGACTCATCTCTAGCTGTGACTTAGTTCCCACTGATCAGCATTTCCCCATGCACCAGGCTTGAAACTTAAAGTGTTTTGTTTTCTGGAGAAAGCCAAACACCTAAATTTTTGACTATTTGTCATTAGCAGCTAACAATTTAAGCAAGATATTTACTTGAAGAAAAAAGAAGTCACATTTATGTGGTTAGTAACAAAATAGTATGGAGAAACATGATACCCTCAGATGGACCACATGGTCCATATTTCAAACCTCTGTCAATTACTTTTGTGGAAAGGACTACCCAAGATGTTAGGAGCGTAGTGAGTTCTAGGCTAGCCAAAGTTGCACAGTGAGACTCTGTCTCAAAACAAAAAGAAAAGTCTCTCTGGAATAGATTTAATAGGACAAGTGAAACCTTTTAAACCACTGTAGTAAGTTGAGAAAAGCTTTCTTGTTTCTGTTTATTTCTTATCTGTAATAGGTTAGATCTGCAAATAATATCTTGCTCACAGAACAAGATGACAATCAAATGATAAATTTTTTGGATAAAAATATAGAAAGGTAGCTTGGTAATACTTCTGAGGAAAGAGTTAGGGTCTGATTTGCATCTTTATTTACTTTTTTATTAGAAAGAAAATTATTTTACATGTCAATCCCAGGTCCCTCTCCCTCCCCTCTTTCCCTGCCCCCCTACCTATCCTATACCCTTTCTGCTCCCCAGGGAGGGTGAGGCCTTCCATGGGGGGGGGTCTTAAAAGTCTGTCATATTCTTAGGGATAGGGCCTAGGCCAACCCACTTGTGTCTAGGCTCAGGGAGTATCCCTCCATGTGGGATGGGCTCCTAAAGTCCATTCCTGTGGTAGTGATAAGTACTGATCCACTACAAAAGGCCCCATAAATTTCCAAGCATTTCCTCACATGGGTCTGGATCAGTCCCATTCTGGTTTCCCAGCTATCAGTCTGGGGACCAAGAGTTTTCCCTTGTTCAGGTCAGCTGTTTCTGTGGGTTTCACCAGCCTGGTATGGACCCCTTTGCTCATCAAATGATAATTCTTGAGGGCCAGTGTAATATGAAAAATCCAAGGATTAAGAAATACAGAAAAATAAAAAATTATGAAGAAGAACATAGATAACATTGTGCAGTTTGGTGTGATTTTGCTGGCGACATTCAAGCCCTAAACAAAGCAGAACAAAATCCACCCCCAAAACTAATAACAATAAGGGTATTCTTAAGGCTCACTTTACCTGTTGAACCAGTCATCTGTGTATCGTGGGTAGGGATAGGGGTCGTTGCTGCTGAAGTCATAACTTGCATCAGAGTTCTGAAAAACACAAGGGATCTCAGGTCAGTAAAGCTGCAAACACATAAAGGGAGCTTGTACTTTAAACATACCATTTTATATTTGTAACTCCTCTTTGGAGGGTTGTGCTGATGTTCAGCATTATTGTATTTTGCATATATTTTATTATATATTATATTATAACATATAACATATATTATAACATATATTACATAATGAGTTATATTATTTTCATATATTGCAATCTGTGAAGGCCAGCCCTTGCAAAATTGTGACAGACCTATATGTGTTCTTAGAGCCTGTGTCCCTATTTCAAGCTTTCAAAGACTTAGACAGTGTGAGACCGGTATTCTCCAGATGTAACCTCATTTTAAGTTGGGGTACCTCTGTATGTTAGCAGACTCCACCTAGAACCCAGGGCTTGTGTTAAGCTTCTTTAGTACTTTTGTTCCCTGATGGCCAGAACACTCCAATTCTCATGTCATAACTGAGATAACTGTTAGCATTTAATTCCTGCTTTATACCAAAGCCTCACTTCTGTAAGGTTATTTCACATTGGCCTACTTAAGGCTTGTCTCCTTTCAGATGTACTAACTTTTTCTGCATGTCTCCTCACATTGTACACAGTTAATCTCATGTATTATATTTAAAATACCATGAAGAGTTTAATGTTTGTCAGAGACTTAGGTAAGGATGACGACACAGCACTGGCATTCCTCCCCTTATGCACCTCAGAGCCTAGTCAGAGGAACAACCAACCAACCAAATGATTGAACAAATAGACATGTCATTGTAAATTTTCCTAATCATGTACTTTCATATTCTACAATAGCTATGAGTATGAAATTCTGTCATCCTACAACTTCCTTTCTCCATTGAGAGACTTTTGCCAAAATCAATTGTGTACTCTATTCAACCATCTTTAAGTGATTTTGTACATGTACTTAAGTTTCTAGTTGGTTTGTCTTTTATTTTTTGCCTATGCTGTATAGTGCCTACTATTACTGAGTGAATAATCCACTCCTCCCTGTTGCCTTCTCTGCTTTCCCAGGAAGGCCGTCCTGTGGAAATTTTTTCTTCATTGTTTCTTTAATTTTGGGTTTCGCAAGGAAGATTCCAGATGGTGTCTTGATTTACTTTGGATTAGGAAAGATACTTCCATTCCTTCTTTAGTGTTCCTTGATTTTAGGGTTCTGAGATATTTTTAGAAATTGTATGTGCTCTTTTACGAGGTAAAAATACTTCAGTATGTGACACACTTTAATTTGAAAAGGTAATGTATCAGTGTTGCATGTTTTGGGCAGGATATTGACTAATTCCAATTATTCTTGGTTTGACTTGTTGGATGACAAAGCACTGCTGGATACCACAGGTTGCAGTGATCAGAACTGTAGTATAGAGTGAGTACCCAGGATCTCCAACTGTGGAATATGTCATTCCAACATAGGATGCTATTTGAGAACTGATGAGATGTCAAAAGTAGAAGTAAATTCCACACCTGCCCTCACTTTCATGGTTCAAATGTAGATGTGTGAAGAATATCAAATTACCTTATCATAAATTCTCAAGATTTATATAAAACATAAGTGACTTTCATGTGTAGATTGGGTCCCATCTCCCAAACATCTCACGTACATGTAACTATTCTCAACTAAAAAAAAAAAATCTCAATCCCAAATACTTGTGGTCCTATGCATTTCAGATGAGGGATACTCAACATGTGAGATAAAATATAATTTTAAGATGTGTGACTTTTGTTTATGATGCCTTTGTTTAACCCTGTGAAGCTGTCGTTCTTTGCCTGTCTAAAACACCTGATGGTCTAATAAAGAGCCAAATGGCCAATAGCAAGGCAGGAGCAAGGATAGGTGGGGCTGGCAGGCAGAGAGGATAAATAGAAGGAGAACTGAGGAAGAGGAGGAGTAGCGAGACAACTGTGGATACAGTGTGCCCAGCTGCCTCATGATCCTACTGTCATAATGAGCCACTATCACCAGCGTACCTTCCCTGCTACAATGGGCCATATCTTCAGACTGTAAGCCCAAACAACCTTCTTTCCTTAAATTGTTTTTGTCACAGCAATGAGAAAAGTAACTAACATCTCTTCTGACTCCAGTCTGTCTGCCCTGGCCACAGCCATGAGTAAGTCCCCAGAACTAGGCCCCACTCCCAGCCACACACAGGCTTAGAGGCCAAGGAACCTTCATCCACTTGCAAAGTTTCCACCTGTGTCTGACCTATAGTCTGTCTGTGGGGCAACTTGCCCTTTCAGAGTTGACATCCCCCCCCCCCGACTTTCTCTGAGATATTTGTATTCAGTTCTTCTTAAGAAAACTATTTTGGAATAGCTTACTTGACTTCCTAAAGTATGGTTGTTACTCTTAAATGTCTCTGAAATTTTTAGAAATTGAGCATTCTTAGGTGGAGTGAGTAGGACAGAGCAGGAATACTGAGAGAAACATAAATATATATAACTTTATAAATATTCATAAAACATAAATATATATTTATAAAAATATAAAAATTATAAATGTAAGTATAAATATACATATTTTTTTCTTTTCTTTTTGGGCTTCAGAGTTGAGATTGAGACTTAAGCAATAGATCTTGAAACACATTTGCTAAGTCTGGTTGGTTTCCCCATAGAAGCTATCAAAATTCTCTGTTCTAGAATGAGCTAGCAATGAGACTCAACATGAGTAGCATTTGTGAGGTCCTTGGAGGGAGCCCCAAGCTTGGCATTTTTCTTCTGAGCTGTGTTCTTGGAGTGGGGTGGTACAGGCTGGAATGGAAACTTGATACAGGTCTTGGCTCATTCTAAGACAGGGTCATGGATTACAGGTCACAAAAGTTCTGTGAGGCACCTCATTTTATAATCCCATGGCAGTCCTGTCCTGTACCTCACTGATCCCCATCTCAAAGAAAGAAATAACAGAATATTCTTGTGGTTGGTGAGAACCAGCTAGCCAGGAGGTTCTGGTGGTCAGCACAATGAAGACTCAGGGGTTGGGCAAGAGCTTCATGAACAGACAATGATGTCTAGGAGAAAGACAATACTGGGGAAGACTTGGGGACCAAGATGGAGAGCTAGCACCATGACTCCTACCTCCTTCTCCTTCACACTGAGCTAGTGTCTGAAGCTAGAGACAGGGAGAGTGACCAAGACTGGAGTTTCAGTTCCATTAGAGGAAAACAGATTTTCTTTACTTAAAAAAGATTTATTTCTGACTTGTATCTATATGTTTATGCCTGAGTGAGTTTATGTGCACAGTTTATGTGCAGGTGCCCCCCAAGGCCAGAGGGCATCAGATCTCCTGGACCTGGAATTATAGGCAATTGTGAGCCTGGTGTGGGTACTGGGAATCAAACCCCATTTTCTTTAAGTGCCATGTCACTTGTAACCATGAAGCCACCTCTCCAGGCCCTTCTGTGCTCACTACCTAAAGAACTGTAAACTTCCCACTCTATCGTTTGTGGCATGTGCATTCCACCTGGGTTTGGGGTTGAGGTCTTTTGGCTCCCATTCCTGGCCCCGGAGAAGTTGCTGCCCTAAGAAAGGTATGAATTAGAAGGAGGGCCCGAGAGTTTCTGAAAAACTTGAAATTAAAAAGCCTTGAGCCCTGCAGCCACTTTTATAAAAAGAAGAAAGACCCTGTATTGTTTGGAGTCAGATCCTCCCCCTACCTCAGAACAGATGGTGGTTTAGCAAACCTAGTAATTTTGTGGTTTTATAATGAATTTGATGACTAAGCCTTAGTTCCTTGGATAGAAGTCTACACTGAACATCAAGGAAGGCAAACCGTGGTTCTGCTTGGGCTGTATGTTTTCTGGCCCCAAATCTAATGGTTTATAGCAAGAAAGGATAAAAAGCAATACTTTCAAAGGTTCTGTTTATGCTTTTATAGGCAAGCCTAATCATTGATCGACTCTAACGACAATGGGCTTGCTATAAAATTATCTGTGTACAAGAAGTTAAACTGGCCTTGAATTATATTGAACTTTTCTAAGGCAGCCATCGAAAACATTCGAGAGGACGTGACATTGTAGTCAATTGGAAGCTCTGATTATTTCAGGTCTAGCTAGACACTTTAGATTTTTGTGACTTCTTTATAAAATACATCATTATATTTTCTTGCTTTAGAAAATATGGGCTGTTTGGCAAATATAATTTAATCTTCTGTGATTCAGGATTGTGGTGATTCAGCAGTCATTAAGAACTTGAGTTGTCATTGTGCCATCACAGAGGTGAGGAAAGATTGGGCTGAATCCAGGGTGACCTCAGGGCTTCCCTAGAAGTCATTTCTTGGAGAAACTTTGGAATACAGTTTTTTCTCTTCTTAAAGTTCATTGTAGGGAGTGGAGGACAAACACCTCTGGTGTTTCAGGTAATTCAACAACCAAAGACTGGGTTTCAAATATATGAATACATAGAAAGTGAGACCTACTTTGCTCTTAGCTATACAGTTCAATAATTAGAGTTCTAGCCAGTGTTAGCCTCATACAGTAGTCAACGTGTGCATGGAGCACAAGGGAGGTACTGATTCCCACAGCCTCCTGTTTTCAGACTCAAAGGCTATGTTTGTGTGGCCATCCAAGGTTCAGGCTGACCAAAGACACACTTCAGACACTGAGGCCAGTGTCACTGGGAAGCCTGGGAGAGCGATGGGGACTCTTGAACTCAGGGGACAACCGTTTTACTGTTTTCATGTTACAGTGTAGTTCAGAAGCCCTAGATTGAAGGTAGATCCATCCTATTCTCAAAGCTAGACTTGAATGCCCAGGACCCAGGGTGCCCTTCTGGTCAGGTTGCCTGAGACTCTTCAGTCTTCATGTAGCAGCCTAGTGTGGGAGGGAGAAGTGTCAAAGTCTTGGATCTAGACTAGGGTTGGCCCAGAAGGATAAAATTCAAGGACGGTTGGAGTGCAGCTTCCTCAGTAACCTCTTTCTGCCTCCCTGGGCCCCAAAGAAGAATGTAGTTTGTAACTTATTTAGTATGAAAATTTTTTTCACAATGAAGCAAA